ATGTGGTTGCTGGGAATTGAACTCATGACCTCTGAGAAGTGCAGCCAGTGCTCTTAAACCTCTGAGCCATCTCTCCAGTCTCTTAATGTTTTTTAATGAAACGATTAGATTAAAAGGTTTGAAATTGTTTTGCAGCTTTTTTTCTCCCCGAGACAGTTTTTCTGTGTAGCCTTGGCTGTCCTGGAACTTACTCTGTAGACCAGGCTGGCCTAGAACTCAGAGATCCCTCTTCCTTGGCCTCCAAAGTGCTAGGATTAAAGGCATGCATCACTACCGCCCGGCTTGTTTTGCAGCTCATGATACAATTGCTTTAGTTTACACCTTGACTATGGCCTTATCATTTTGTTTCTGCCGGTCCATCACTGGGTATTAGCATTATATATATATATATACTCGTTTGGTAAACGTGAGGTAGCCTATCATACCGTGTTGTTGAAAGGCAGTTTAATTATGAAGGTCTCAGCGAAGAAAGGCACTTGCCACCAAGCCTGATGGCCTGAGTTTGACCCCACAAGGTGGAAGGTGAGGAACCCACTCCTGCAAGTTGTTCTCTGATTTCCACCCGAGTGCCGTGCCACGTTGGCGCCCACACACTTACATGCACACACACAAATATGAATAAAATAATTTTAAAAAAGAAAACGAGAATGAACAGAGTTGTGACCCAAGCATCAAAAGCATTTTTAAAAAACGAGATTCGCCAGGCGTGGTGGGGCACACCTGTAATCCCAGCACTCTGGAGACCCAGGCAGGAGGGTTCGAGGCCAGCCTGATCTACAAAGGGAGTTCCAGGACAACTGAGCCTGTTGCACAGAGAAACCCCACCTCGAAAAACCAACAAAACGGGACTGGTGGACTGTGCTCATCTCTGCTGACACACAAGGCCGAGGCAGGGGCGTGTGGTCGCCCCCTAAGGACACGAACCGCTAGTGATGCGCGTGGGCATGCAGCCTGGGGCTAAGTCCTGATCTCTGCCCTGCTAGCAGAGGATTCTTGTTTTCCCCAGTGTGGGAACCGAGCAAGAGGGCAGGGCGAATCTCTACGCATGCGCGCCACTCTGCTGGGCGTTTCTTGGGCCCGGAACACTGGGGTCCTGGGTGTCGGCGCAGGCGCGCTGGCGGCCCGTGGAGGTCGCGGCGCCTGCGCAGTCATTCTTCCTCAGGTGGCAGCCATGGCTGGACAAGAGGATCCGGTGCAGCGGGAGATTCACCAGGACTGGGCGAATCGGGAGTACATTGAGATCATCACCAGCAGCATCAAGAAAATCTCGGACTTTCTCAACTCTTTCGGTCAGCGGGCGAGCAGGGGAGACTGGGAGGAGGGAGGCGTCGGAGGCGGCCGGCGGCGCCGAGGAGAGGCGCGCCGTCCCGGCTGCTCCCTTCCTCTTCCGCGCTCCGCCGGCCCCAGTCCCCTCACCCTGAGCCTCACTAGGCGGTCTCCGTGGGTCTACCCTGCCCATTGCCAGGCCCCGCTTGCGCGCGTCAGCACGCCCACTGCCCAGCCTCCTAGGCCCATCCATCACCTTCCTGATCTGCGCTGCGCTTCCACGCCAGTCTCCATCCACTTGGCACGCAGTGCGCAGCCGTGTCACGGTCACGTTTACACTTAGAGACTCCCGATAGTTCTCCATCTCCTTCAGGATCGAGTCCGAAACCCCTTAGTGCCATGCCTTCTATTGCTCCCGCTCGACCATTTCCTCCCGGTGCCGTTCATTCCTCCCCGGCTCCCTTCGGTGCTAGTGAAGGTGGTAATGAAGTCAGAGGGAGGGCTGGGGCCCTCTCGGGCCTTGGAAATGCCTTTTCTAGCCCTGTCTCTGCTTCATGATAGGTGTTCTGGATGCTTCTCTCTGGTTC